TAAGGAACATTCTCTCTTCTAAGATGACGCACTTAACTATCAGCCTTCACTGCTGTAGCTTAAGTGAATTAATTTGCATAGAGGCACAGAGGGCCACAGGCAGAGCTATTTGAGATGCTTTTGCAGCATCTCTTGAATTCCAGAGAATGTGTTCCTGTCCAACCTTGGATCTGACGGTGGGTTGGACAGGGCATCACCAGCAGGCTTGGAGCACATTTCAGGACGAGGTTGAAAAGAGATGTTGGTTTTGTTTGTTTGTTTGTTTGTTTGTTTGTTTCAAGCAGCCATTGGGTACCTGTTGAACAATGTGCCTGCTTAATTTGGGTGGAGACAAATGGCAGGCCATTCCCGAGCAGCCATGGCCCAGCTTCTTAGAGAGTAAATGGAGTTTTGTGATCAGAAAGAAATGCCCCAGTCCCCCACAAGGGAGGGCGTCCAGGCCCTCCTGGTCCCTGATGTGCCACCTGGCCATCCATCTTGCTTGAGCTGATTCCAGAAGTTAGACGAGTCCTGGACTTTGAGGTCTGCCCTCAAGCCCACCAGGGTGCTTGACCCTTTGGAGCCTCAGGTTAATATTAACCTTGGATTGCTGGAGCCTGAAGCCAACCAGTCATGCACGAGGCTAAGTCAAACCAAGGGGGAATTTGCATCTTTCTGCAGCTCCCTTACAAGCTATGGGCCCAGTGGTTTGGCTGCCCCGTGGGTGGGGGCAACTGTGCAGCATGAGTCACAGGGAGGGATGGGGGCACAGCCCGAAGAAGGACTTCCTGGAGAGTGTGGTCATAGGCCAGTGACCCTTGTCGTGGGGCTGTATTGTTTGTCCTTGTTTTCCAGGGTCGAAAGCAGGAAGAAGTCTCTCTCCAGCTGCTGAGTTCGCTACATAGATCAGATCTGACCAGAAGTAGATGGAGCCTCGGGGTGTGAAGGTGAACTAGGGAGCGAGAGCTGGAGTTATGAAGCTTTCTGAGATCATGGAGAGAGTTGGGCACTGGGTACAGAACAAGAGTTCAGGATCCCAGAATCCGCTGGGTGTCGGGGGTCATGGGCACGGCTGACCACATGGGAGATGATGTGGGATCCACTGTCAGTAGCCCACTGGTATGAGAACCATTGACATCGTGCAGATGACTTGTGTTCTTCCAAACCAGTGACATTTGGGAGATGACTTGTTAGGTGGCAGGGGAGGGATGTTCAGCATAGGAGAGAAAGTTTCTTCTACTGAGAGAGCAGTAATGTCCTCCCTAAACACCTCATGGCCTTGCTCAGACACCAGGGTGCCTCACAGCTGCCCTGTGATACAGTGGGTAAAGGGTCTCACACTGTAATACTAGTAAGTGGTACTAAGTCTTATCCTCAGTGCCAATTGGTAACATTCATAAGACATTTACTATGTGCCAGACAATGTTCTAAGGGTTTTACAGGTAGTAACTTGTGAGGTGGGGGCCAGCTTTCTCCCCATTTTACAGATAAGGAAATTGAGACACACAGAGGAAAAGTAAGGTGTCCAAGATCACACAGCTGGCAAGCAGCAGAGCCGGGATTCAAAGCAGGCAATCCAGCCTCGAGTCTGTTATCTCTTACACTATTATTCATGTTACAGAGAATGGCTTACAGGAGACCAGAGGAGGAAGAGATGGCTTCTGGCTGGGGTGACCAAGGAAGTGGGTAACCCAAATAAGCAGCTGTATCAGCTGGCCCTTCAACATAAATCCAACTCTATTTTCTGCTCCCAACCCCAGTCCTTGGGTCTGAAATAGAGCCTGCAGGTCCTGCCCCTGCATGAACAGGGGTAGGGTATTCAGCTAAGGCCTCAGGTCTGCTGAACCCGGAGCCAGGGGTGCAGCTAAGGAGGGGCTCTCAGAGACAGTCCGTGGATTCAGGAGAAGCCTCAGCTCACTGGCTGCCTTTGCCTCTGCCTGCACCTGCATCTGCACCAAAACACCGGGTGTTCATGCTTCTGCCTCTACCTGCTGCCCTTCTTCCTGTAACATTCGTGTCACTCCTACTTGTCCTTATGGCTCAGTTGATGTGTCTTCCCAGCCACGAAGCCTTCCCCTGTGCTGTCAGGCTGTGTGTGTGTGTGTGTGTGTGTATGAGAGAGAGAGAGAGAGAGAGAGAGAGACAGACAGACAGACAGACAGACGGACAGACAGAAACATGTCACACTGTGTTCCAGTTGGTCCATTATGGCGGTGGCTCTGGCAGGACTTTGAGTGCATTGAGGCCAGGAACCATGTTGCATTCATTCTTGAAACCCACTGCCCAGAAGAGCCTGGCGTATAGTAGGCACATGACGAGTCTCTGCTGTAGGATTAGAGAACAGATGTTAAAACCTGCATCCTCAAACAGGGAAGCAGGCATTAGAATGTGGTCAGTCAGCATCAGGCCTTCCCGTCTCAACCCAGCATCTCCCTCCTCTCTCCTTTCGATCATCTCTCTCGCTGCAAGAGTGTAGCCGATTTAATGCAAAGGTCCGGACATCTCTGGTTCCTGGACCGTGGCCTGATGTTCACACTTCTGAGCCTGCAGTGAACACGCTGGGTTATGCTGGGGCAGTCAGCTTCACGAGTGGTAGCTTTAGCACCCCCGACCCCTTGCAGGTATACAGCACCGCCGACTCCCATTGAAGCCCACCGTTGAGGATGCTGAATGAGCTGTGTCAGGTCCAAATGGACTAACCAGCCTGCCGTGTCACTATGGGTAAGAGGAGTCCTTGGTGCCTCTGAAAGCAGCTGTCCTAGTCTTCCCTTCTCCTTCCTCCTGAATACACTGAGTTTGCAAACCCTCCTTCTCCAGGGGTCCTTTGTGTGCGCTCGGGGCTTACTCCTTGAACAAGGCAGCTTCAGGTTCTGTGAACGGGCCACCCGGCTGTTCTTATTCTGTGCTCGGTGGTGGCAGCCATCATTTGCTTGCTTCAGACCTATTTGATCTGCAAGCTGCTGAATCCATGTCCTAGAACCAGGGGTTGACTATCATTTTTAAGCCATTAGACTACAGTTACCCCACTGCTCCAGCATCCCACTCTGATTATTTCCACTGAGGATCAACTGTATGATTCTCGATCATTTAAGACCCAAACCTCAAAAAAAAAAAAAAGGAATCAGAAGACACTCCTGCCAGTGTGAAACTGGTGAACACGTCCATCAGCACAGGAAACGCCCTTGTGTGTTTCCAGTCGATGCCTTCCCACCCACGGCAGAGATCACTTCCGATTTCTATCGCCACAGCTTAGTTGCACCTGTTCTGGAACTTTAAATTAGTGGAATCAACTAAACGATTGTTTATGTATGTACAGCTTCTTTTAATGCAACACAATGCTGCTAAGATACACTTAAGTTGTTGTTTATGTGAGTAGTTTATTCTTTTTTATTGCTGAGTGTTATTCGGTTGTGATAATATAACACAAATTTGTTTACCCATTCATCTGTGGGTGGGCATTCAGGTTGCTTACCAGTTTTGGGGGGGCAGTTATTATGAATAGAAATGCTATGAAACTTCTTACACAATTCTTGGTGTGAACATGTTTTCATTTCTCTTGGATAGATGCCCAGGAGAAAAATCACTGAATAACAGAGTGGGTGCATTTTTAATGTAGTCAGAAAAAGTTCTCCAGAGTGGTTGAGACGTTTTGCCCGCCCACCACCAGCGTACCAGAGTTTGGGCGATCCCTTAGGCTTCATTCTGTGAGCTCAGAGTCACTACTCAGAACAGTTCAAACCATGACAGTGGTTCTTTTTTTTTTTTTTTTTAGTTGAAGTATAGTCAGTTACGATGTGCCAGTTTCTGGTGTGCAGCATAATGTCCCAGTCATGCATATATATACATACATTCGTTTTCATATTCTTTTTCATTAAAGGTTATTACAAGATATTGAATATAGTTCCCTGTGCTATACAGAAGAACTTTGTTTTTTTTAAACCTATTTATATATATATAGTGGCTAACATTTGCAAGCCATGACATTGGTTCTTAAAAACAGATTTTAAAGTGTTCTGTCCCCAAGAGATGCTTCATTTTTTTTTTTTTTTTGGAAGCTTCCTTCTTGAATGTCCTCGATAGGAAAAAGGTTTTCTATGCATTGGGACCTTACAGCCAGCAGGCAAACTTAGGGAGGGTGCTCCAGGAGCAATGGGGGAGGGGGAGGTGATACAGCTCAGCCCACCATGTGGGATCAAACCCAACAGTCAATTTGATGACAGATGTTCAAGCCAGCTCACCCTCATGTCTAAGAGTGGCTTGGTAACAAGTCACTATTCCATCCCTGAGCAATCAGAGAATTTATTTGCAGTCTGTTAGCTAATTGTTCCCATACTGAACACAGATCTTAACTAAATGCCGAAGTGACATTTAAATTTCTGGTCTCCATTATGAAACAGCTGATAAATTACCATGCTTATATCCTGCCAGTAGAGTTTAATTTAATTTGCCTAAGATTGCAGCTGATTTCTGAGATCCCTAAAACATGATAGGAAGGAAATATCACAAAATGTGATGTAAATGCTACAGAAGAGACGGATTTGCAGCCAGGACTGGGGCAATGCACTCCAGCTGCACAGCATCTAGCAAGTCACATCACTTCTCTTGGCTGCAGGTCCCTCAAAACCAAAGTGAGAATGAGAATCCCCGTTTCTGCCCACCTACCTGCTAGGGTGGCTGTGAGATTCAAAGAAGATACAGTAGCACTTGAGTCCAGTCTCTGCCGCATCCCACCAAAAGCTTGACTGTGTTGCTTATTTAATTCTCCAAATCTGGGGTCTCCTCCCTGCAAAGTGAAGATGATAAATGAATATAAATGAATCCCTTACAGGGGCGGTATAAGATTTGGGTGAGCTACATAAAGCACCGACCACTGAGCGCTCAGTAACGAGAGCTTCACTGTCAAGCAGGCTACTTGTCTGGGTCATACACCAACCAGATGGCAGTGTTCTCAACCAGTCGGCGGATTTACTCAGTTGACAAGCAACCTTTGCTGAAGTAGGCACCGAGTCCTGCTGACAAAGCTCACACAGTGACAGCCACGGTACCTGGGCTGTGACTTGGAGCCCAAGTTCAGCCTCCCAGGTGTCCCTGGTCCTCCGGTCACTGGGGGAGGGGGCACACCCCTCTCTTCAGTATCAGATCACAAATAAACTGGCTGTGGCTGCCATCTGACACGGAGTGGGAGCTTCTCATCCCCCTACCCCGTATTCCCCTGGATTCTCAGAGGACCCACGTTTCCTTCAGATACCGCCTGAGTTCCCGCTGCTGCTGCGTTCTTGATCTCCACGTGTATCTAGCTCCTGTAGCCGTTCTGCTGTTTTCATCCTTCGTTGACCCAAATGTAAGACACATCTCCTTTTCTCTTTCCTTAAGGTCATTTCCTTTTATATCATATCACATATAAATCATCAGAGTGGTCTGATAAATTTATAATATCATATAGAATATAGTTTATATTTAAATATGTTATTACATATTATAATATATAATAGACTTTATAATAAAAATGAATATATCATTTTTCAGAATACAAGGTTTTATTCTAGTCATCACCTATCTTTCTGCTCTTTCGTTTTCCTGCACTTCTTGTTGAGAGTGGCTCCTGATGGTCTTCCTTCCCTTAAATTCACACTTCATCATTTTTTGTGTAAGTGTAGGCACATGACCCAATTAAGTGCTCTATCTGTTCCTGTGAGAATATATACATATTGAAACACATTTCAAAAAGTCAGATGCTTTTTTTCACCTTTATATTACAGTTAGGACATTATTTGATTTTTATAATAATGCACACGGCTGATTATATCATCTATGAATTTAATTTTGGGGTGGTAAAGGGGGCAAAAACTAAATATATCTAATAAAAAGAAGGCATTGGGTCTGACGGTGTGGAGAACCCTTGTTGTGGGTGAACTGAAGGACATGGGTGAATTGAAGGGACATCTTTCCATTCCTGTGGCTTCTCTTTTTCGCTGGCACCATTCTTGCTTGAGCAAACCCTGAGATCTGGCTGGGACCCTCCCTTTGTCTGTGAGAGCCGTATTTGCCGGCCAGCCACCTCCCTGTCTTTCCACTAGATGCCAGCAGCATCTCAGGAGACTGGATGGCTGGGCTCTGCCTCCCTGGGAGTTTTCAAAAACAGCACAAGGAAAGTTGCTCTAGCTCCAAGGAAACTGCGGTCCTTCTGGAGTAGGAGGGCTGCGGAGTGCACCTTGACTGCTTGGTCCCCTACCTGCTCTGGTTTCAGAACAACAGTGTCAAGTTTAGGCCCCCAGCAATGTATCAGGTGAGACCCGGAGCCTAACCAGGGATGGGACCCCAGATGCTATGCTGACCACCTCCCTGACCCACCCACTCACCCACCCACCCACCCACAGACTACATCTGCTGGAGACTGACCATAAATATTTACCTTTCATTAAACATGTCATCACTGCCACTCACTCACAGTCTCAAGAGCACCAACCCAGAAGCCTGTGGGGGCTGGAGCTCGTTGGCGGCAAACAGTGAACCTGTGATTTCTTCCAATCCATGGAAAACAGTACTCTCCTTTCTGCCCCGGTCCAGAGCCCAGGATAAGGCTCTGACTGTGCTGAGAAAGATCTTGGTCTTGGGTTTTGCTGAACAGAACTGAAAAAGAGTGAGCACTCTCTAGAAGTAAAAATAAAACTCCTCTGGATTTCCAAGGATCTGATGATAATATGGAGAGACGTGGAAAGACACTGGCAAATGTCAGTTTTGGGGGACTGCTGGGGAGTATGCCCAGTAGCTGTTTACTTGTGGCATCCAAGTTATCGACCCACTCCTCCCCTGAGGCTGGCTGAGGTGGAGAGGATCCCTTTCACTGCCTCCTGAGACCCTAGTTCCCCACACTGGCTTCATCCATCCCAGTCAGGCAGGGACTCTGGAAGAATCTTGGATGGCCAGGAGCTGATCAGACACGGCGGGATTGAGGGTGGAAGGGGATCTGCAGGTCGGGCAGAATTCTCAGCCGCATCTGCTGCTGCTTTTCCTACACCCCCTCCCCCCAGGGGAACCCATTTAGGTGGGGTGGGGTTTTCTCTCTCCCCAACCCCTCAAGGTCTCTGTATCTGGTGAAGAAGAGAAATGGTGCATTTTCCAGCTTTTTTTGCTCTAGGATCGGATAAAACCTTACTCTGACTTCTTTATTTTCATCCGTAACTACTGAGACGCAGTCAGTCACAAGAAGCCCATCCTTACTGCAACTAGAATCAGTGGGGAGGCATTTCCATTTCTGAGTTTTGAGCAATTGTTGGCTTTTATGGAATCCACTCACCTCTGCTGGGGCCTGCCAGGTAGTAAGGCTGGGTGGCAGGTGGTCACACGTGAGTGGTCACATGCAGACTGGACAGGACTCAGGTCAGACAGGCTTTGATGAGGAGAGGGAAGGAAACATGCAGGAGAGTCTATCAGAACTACCAGAACTTCAGCCTCGAGGGGCCAAGCCCTGCAGGCCACTGGCTCCCCAGCCTGCACCGGCGCCTCTGGCCTCCACTTGGCAGGTGAGCCTTGCTCCCTTACCCTCACTGACTCCTTTCTCCCGGGGTCTGGTGAGGACTAGACACTTCAGGAGGCTCATGCCCCACCACACCTTGCTCCAGGAGGCCTGGTTTTCCCAGGTGACTACTTGAACCACGTCGTATGTCTTACTCTCTTAGCTTAGTCATGGGCATCTGTCCTTCTTCCGAGTATTGCTTCTGCTCTGTTCTCCTTTTCTGGAGCTGGGTCTGGTTGTGGAGCCGTGTCTCACTTTTTGTCCCTCAAAGTCGTGGCCGGGGTAGTGGTGAAGTAGAGGAGAGCTTTCTAGGATCACCCCCGGCCTAGCTGACTTGCAGCAGTGTGCTCCGTATCGGCACAGATCAGCTAATTTCCCAGGTATCTTGAGCTGACAATCTGAACTTGAGTCTCCCCCTCCTCTGCCATTGGACGTACTTCAGCAGAAACATCGGAGGAGCACTGGCCCAGGAGAAAGGGGCTCCCCAGGCCTAAGCCTCAGGTCGGCAACACAAACAAGTCTGTGGTGCTCACAAATGGTCCACCTCACTTCACTTCCCAGTGATTTGGGGCCCATAGCCTCGGATCATAACAAAATGTTTGTTCAGCCAAAGTTCTGTTTCTACAAATCCCTTACAGACTCAGGCCTTGAGGGAAGGTTACAGCCATAACTGGCGGCCAACAGGATTCTCCCTCTGCTACTCACCGGCCCTGTAACCCACGGCCAGTTATCCAACTTCCTTGAGTCTTGATTTCTTTTTCTGTAATAGGAGAATAATAGTTTGTATTTTAGAAGGACATTTATGAGGATTAAATAGGGTAATGTGTATGGAGAACCGAATACAGTGCCTGGCGTGCGGCTGGTCTTCAGCGCTGGCTTTCTGTTGGTCCCTCGTTAGATGTCACACGGCACCGTGTGAAGCAGGGCAACGTCTCATGCTGCCAACCTTTCCTCCATATTTTCTTCCCTTTCCTCATCAAAGCCTGTCTGGCCTGGGTCCTCTCCCCACACAGCCCTGTTCCCAGAACTGAGGAACTAATTCAAGCTAGGGTGAGGTGAAAGCAATAAACATTACTATCATGTATTTTATCAGACACTGTAGGCTGCGCACACCAAATTCATCCTCTCATTGCCCCCCTCATGCCTTTCTCCTTAGTAGAGCCCCGAGTTTTTCCTCAGGTGTCCACACTCTTCCACGTAGCAATGTGCTTAGACAAGTTGATCCCACGGCCAACTCAAGGGTAAAAGCTGATCAGTCTAATTACGGGATGTTCATTCTTTAAGCCAGTGCTTAGTTTGGAGGTGGCCATGTACTCCTGTTCCAATCAGTGAATGTGAGGGGGTATTTGCTGGGGGAGCTCTTGATAAAGATTTCCTCATTGTTTCAAAGAGCTGTCACTGGAGGCCACCATGCCGATGAGGAACAGCATGCTTGTGACCACGAGGAGGGCCAGTCCAGGACATAAGCCAACACGCTGGCTGAAGAAGACACAGAGACCTTGGGCCCCTGAGGATGTCCTCAAGCTGTTGCATTAAATGAATTCTTGGAGACACTCTAACTTGTGGCTTCTTGTTATGTAAGGTAATTAACTGTCCATTAAGTGAAATCCTTTTGAGTTAGGATCTTTATTACTTTGGCTGAGACATCCTGACTGATACAGTAAGGTACTTGGGGTGGTGCAGAAGATGGAGAGATAAATATGGCAGAATATTAGTTCCCAGGGAATATAAAAGCTATGGGGGAAGGAAAAAAAGAAGCACACACACACACAAAAAAAAAATTAGGAGAAGGGCTTAAGTAAAGGCACGGGGAGAAGAGAGCAGGAGCAGACAGGATGAGTGTTGGTTGTAATTCAACCACAAAAAGAATTTGTAGAGTCACAGCCCTCTTTTCCAAAGTGAGGCAGCTTGGCCTGAGTTTCTGACCAGCTAAGTAATGGCACGATCACGTAGGCCTTTCACTCTTAAACCGGCAGGTGGTCAGCGGTGGGGCCGCTGGAGCCAGGCAGAGGGAAGACAAGCTTTTCTAGCGGGACTTCTCCAGCCAGACCACGCTAGGCAGAACCCATTCTTTGTTCTCCATGACATTCCTCAGCCCCAGACCTAGGTCTTCTATTCGTGGTTCAGTTTTTCCCCTCGTGAAGGGTTAAGGCAGGAAGAGAGGGAGGAATGATGGCCTTGGAGCCTCATCCTGGTTCCAACAATGGGCTTCATGGCCTGGAAACAGGCAAATCGAGGGCACTGCCATTTCCCTCCCCAGCTGCCGGGCTTCGCCTCCAGCCTCACCTGGCCCCTCTCACCTTACCTCCTGTTGCTGGAGATTAGGTTCCTGTCTCATCGCAGAAAGATTTCAGGGATGAGACATGGAGGTTAAGAAAGTAAAGTGAGGATTTATTAAGAGATAGCCAGTACACCCTCAAGGGGAGAGCGAGCAGGCTCAGGTGAGTGGCTGCCCTGAGCTTCTTTGGCAAGTTGGTTCTAACCATAGGGTATAAAAGTGAATGGGCAGGATATTCATTGGGGAGGGAAGGGTTTGGGGTTGTATTCCCTGATTTTCATCCCAACCCCACTTTCCAGAGGGGAGAAGGGATTTCTGCTCGGAAGTGTCATGGCGTCGGTGCATGATGGGTACTTCTAATCTGCAAGGCTAATTTTGTTGTAATAAGGGCATAATGAGCAAAACGTTACTTTCAGACACTGGAGATTCCTGCCTTTTCCCATCTATCTTTGTGGGTCTCCAGGACACCTGTCACCCCAAAATGTGTGATTTCATATCAGAGCCAAGGTTCCTGCTTTTCTCTGCCCAAGGATCCCTGTTGTTTACATGATGTCTGACTTCCTCCATTTGGCCCCATGCCCCTCCTTTCTGCCCAATCCCTGCTATTTGGTCTGTGTGCCCATTTCTCTGCTCATGTCTAGCTATCTGCCTCCTTTAACACTACCGCCATCACTCCAGCTTTTAACAAATCACAGGCAGCAGTGGCTGTGGTCGGGAAGTTTACTAAGAGGGAACAGACAGCAGAAGACCACTGCATGAGAACTCATGAGCGCTAAGAGTGAAGTGGGGCTTTGACCAGCTTCCTGCCACCCCTGTCCTCCACTGCTGCAGCAACTGGAATTGAGTGGCACCCAGCAAGGCAGACACTGGAGGAAAGAGCCCCTCTTTCCAAAGCTGTGCTACCCAAGGACCAAGACTCATAACAGAGTAACATGGATGAGAGCTTGGGCTCCAGGGCCAGTCCAGCTGTGTCTGAAGTTCGCTTCCACTTCTCACTGGCTGTGCTGTTTCGGTCAGATCACTGAACCTCTCTGTGCTTCCACTGCCTCATCTGTGGAATGACTTTAATAACAGCAGTTACCAGAAAGGATTTTAAGGATTCAATAAATGGAAAAACGTGTGTACAAGGTGACTAGAGTGCCTGGCACTGAGTGGAAACACATCAACATTAACCACTGTTGTTCTAGAAAACCGAAATCCTATGGGACTGCAGGGAGGTGATTATTCTGTAGCATCAAAATGATCAGGTAACTGAGAACTGAACCTTTCAAACACTGAAGTCTTTGACTTGATTTTCCAGGATTCTTTTCAGAAGAGATGTCCCTAATCAGTGTCTCTACTTCCTCTTCTCCAATCAGGCTTTTGTTTCTACTCTTGCAGTCCAGTCCAAGGTTTAATTCTTAGGCCTCCTCTTGCGCTGTCCGCAGCGCTGACGTAGGAAGTCACTATTGTCTTTAAACTCTTTCTTCTGTCGGCCCTTAGGACCTACTTCTCTCCCAGGTTTCCTCTTACCTCACTGGCTGCTCTTAGTCTCCTTGGCTGGTCTGTCCTCATTTTCCTGACTTTTTGAGGATGGGGTATCCCAGGACTCAACCCTGTAAATTTCCTCATCTCAGCAAATGGAAATTCCACGTTGGCAGTTTCTCCGGCCACTTTCATCAGTCTTAGTCGAACAAGCAGTCAGAACAAGAGGAACTGACCCTTCTACCCTGTATATGGACTCCTTGCATGGGCCCTGTGAGTTCATCTCTGAATTCCTACAACACTCACACCACTGCCTTGAGTGGTATAGTGTCTGCTGAATAAACAGATGGCGAATCTTCTTCAAGGATCCATTTTTACCTAAGGCATCCAGCCTGGAAGTTTTATTTTGGCGGACATAACAAAAGAGGCTTGGGTAAAATGACTGCACCCCAGCAACCTTCTTTCAAGAAGGCATAAATGTGCAGAGGAAAAGTGATTTGAGAAGGCAAACATATAGCTTCTCTTTCGGACTCTATCTGGTTCCACATTCTGGAAAATAACCCCAAAGCTCCCGGCCTTTATTTTTGTTTATCATGAAAAATGAGACTGAGCTTAAGATGGGTCAGGACCTCACATACCAAGTAAACAGGGAAGCAGAATTAGAATGCTTGGTATTTGGGTGGGGAGGTGGGGGGATAGTGAGAGATCTAGCACTTACCTTTTCTTTTTCTTTTTTTCTTTTTTTTTAATTACGAAAATCACAGAGTCACATAAAAATCATTACTTCTGTCTTCTTCCCAGTAAAGGTCTATGAGAGTATCCTACTGGTTGCTTGCTGGAGCTCTGTAGAGAGAAATATTAGTTTTATAAATTGATACAGTGTCCACAATTCCATATGAAAATGAATTTAAGGACCAACCGGGACAGGCCCCAGAGCTCCATGGAGCCCTGATGAATGAATAGAACCACATTATAAGGTTCTCCAGAGAGTGGGGCAAAAGGAACCGATTGTCTTCCTGAAATATACCGGCAAGAATGCAAGCCTTAATTAACAAAGCCCAAGATTGATTTTTCTTGCTGCCTTTTTCTCTGAGAGACAAATAATAAGAAATGAATGAGGTTGAAAGCAAATGAAAACCATATTCGGAAAGCAAAGCATAGTCTAACTTTTGGCTGAGCTGGTTGCAAAGAGCTAAAGTTCTTTAATCATCTCACTGGAGATGTAGCCAAAAAATGCAATTTGAAACACACACACATACACACACGCACACACACACATTTCCACACCATACCCTCCTCCTTTTTCGCTGTAGATGAATCAAGATGGTGGAGACAGGATATGATGAGAACCATTCCTGCTCTCCACCTACTTTATAAAAGGCTTTGGCAATCAGTAATCTCTGCTGCCATGCTTTGGGGAATCCATCTATCAATTCTTGTTCGTTAAACATTCATTGCACATTGTGCATTGGCTGGAAAGAGCAAATAAGCAACTGAAATAGGTAATGTGTTGTGGCGACGCTAAGATGGCAAACTATGTAAGATTTAGATTCTTCAAACTTGATTTTTCTAGAAGACAATGAACCAGTTTGGCCTAAAAGAGCATTACTACACCTGAAGGCAGGGATGGGGTGGGAGGGGAAATGATAACTTTATTAGAATTAAAATAGTCTCTTATTAGCTAGCAAATGGATGAAACACAGAGGGTTTTCCTTGTGTCAGGGATAGTCAGGGCGACTTTATTCAGAGACAGAACCCATGGCTCAATGTGGTGGTGTGATTTCAAGATGCTTCAGTATACAGTCCATTTCACACTGCCTCACAGGACCTCAGTGTTGGTTTAAGGCTTGAAGAATTACTACTGTCCTTGTTAACAAAGAGGCAGAAGACTTTTATCTGGCATTATGGTAGTGGGCTAAAGGAGATACGGGCTTTTCTAATGAAGTCTAACTTAGATTAATAGTAAATAAATCGGGCATATTGTAGGAACAGCTTTACCCAATTCATGGTGTTTCCATTTGTTAAGGGGAGCTTATTTAGTGTAACTCCTGGCCTGATCCTCCCATTACTCACGTTTCCCTAGAGGAGGATGGAGCATCCTTACTGCCTGAAACATCTGAGTATGCTCGGCTCAGCTCCACCCTTCTTCCTCTTGGGAGTGAGTTGCTCACAAAGAAAGGATTCTGTTCTGCTCTTCTAGGGGAGGGATCTTTTTCCTCACTGGGGTCCAGTGTTGGCAGATCTACTTGGCTAACAGGCAGCCACATCCTCCAACCTGGCCTCTGTTAGAAACAAAGGGTATTTCTGTCTCCATTTGCCAGGCTTTTGTTTTACTTGTCAGTTTGTACAGAACATGGGCAGGAAAGAGGGGTGTCATGTACTGGGCTCCTCGGTCACCCCAAGATAGTTTAAGTGGAAAGAAACCTGAATGGAGGACTTGAAAATGTTAGTTCTGATCCGACCTCTGTCTTTCCTTAGGTGTTTAAAGTTAAGGGGAAAAAGAACTTCTCGATGCCTCACTTTTCTTAAATGTAAAACTAGTTCATGAATTTATTACCTTATAATTCTATGTGCAAAAGGGCACCACTCCGAGACTTCTGTTTATATAATACAGTGTACTGTTACAGACTTTTTCACCCCTAACCAGAGAAGATTTCGGGGCTCTGTAAAGGCAGATCCTGAGGAATCTCTGTTAGTCATGTAAGAGTTGGCTGATTAGATTATAATTTTCTGAGAGAAGGATATAATTGGACCTTCTGGTTTTTAAGCCTTCATAAAACTGCCTGTCTCCTTGGGAAGGGACTCTCTGGCAAGGGGTTATTAATTATTTGCAAAATTTATGGTGGCTCAGCTCTTTTCCACCAGTGAAAATGCATGAAGCTTCTTACAGCCTAGTCTCAAATTGACACACTGCCACTTCCTCCTTTCTCTCTTGGCCAGGGCAAGTCAGATGGACAAACCCAAACTTAAGAAGCAGGGAAATATACTCTGTCCCTTTAGTGGGGAAGCTCCAAAGACACATGGCAAAGAATACAGACTTAGGAAGGGGTGAAGAATTGGGACCAATGGTACAATCTGTCAGAGTAGGGTGGGGTAGGTTTGG